ATAACGAATTCTTTTAACTTTTGGGACAGATCTTGCGTGTGCATTGATCGACCTTTGACCTCATCGCAAGCAAATTAAGAAACTAGCAGCAGTATAAATGCGCTGAATGAAATCGTTATCACTTCATTGGTATCATACGAAGGAGCCTTGGAATATGCAAATGGAAGAAAAATTTAAAATTGATAGGCTCAAATTGTAAGTCTCGTGATTGTATTTTTATGACGGTCGAAGATCTTTTCTTACAACCTAAAGCGTAGTGAGCGTTTCGATTCATAATTAGTAATTGGTTTTACTTTTATACAATTAGTTTATAACAGTGCTTGCAAATTCTACAAAAATCACTGAACTTTTTTAATATTGTATTGTAAGAGTGCAATATCATTTAATGACTATTTTCAAGTAAAGTTAAAAACTAATAACTTTTGAGTATTCACTCTTTAAACTACTAGATTAATGACATTTTTAAAGTATTGTTATATAACAATATTAATAAGAATCTCCTTTTCACTCTCATTGTTTTCATTTAATTTGCATTAGATATCCAAGACTCTAAATCACTAAATATTACTTTAAAAAAAATTTAGTTAGTGGTATTTTTAAAAAATAAAAAACTCATGGCAACATTTTAAAAAATTGAAACACTAAAAATAATACTTTAAAATTAGACCACAAAATAATTGTAATTTAAAACCTCTATCAACCACGAAAGATCTCGTAGATTATTTGACTAACCTAGACGTACGAATAAATTTTATTTGAATAAAGGGTCTCAAGTTGCCAAATGTAACAACTTGAATGTCTAATTAAACTATTCCAAGCGACAGTAAAAAAAATCTAATTATAATGTCGAATATACTTCTTTTCTTATCGATATATTATTCTAATTGATGTGAATCTTTTAGTAATTAAGTCTTATCAGTACGGTTTACAACTAGACTTGAGCTGCAAAAAAATATTCCTGAGCCAAAGCAAGCGGTCAAAAGACACCAAAATAACTTTTTTATTTTATTTTATTTAAAAAATCTCCAACAAACCGTGCATGAAAATTAAAGTATTTGTTTAAGAATTACCTATGATACGGTACAAAATCCAAAACATTGAACATGAAACCAATAATTGTTATGATTATTCGCAAGCATTATACTACCATATATTATATAAACACCGGGCAAGACTAACCTATAACATTTTTTATATAAAAAATCCATTTGAATATAGAAACTTGAACTCATTCAACTTTGAAACTAGCTGATAAGTATGCACATGACTGACTAACTATGCAAATGTCAAACATTAAGCTCGTAATAATAGTAGTATATACGTAACTAAATTTGATTGATAACTTTTATTAGCTAGTTTTGTTGCACTGATTTGGAGTATATCATTTTGATAGTTATTAATCACATATTTTTTTTTAAATTACACAAAATTAATACATTTTATTTAATGTCATTCTACTTTATTCTACACATTAAAAGATCTACTTTACTCTTTATTGATACACTAAATATTTTTTTTTCTAATTAATATATTAAAACAAAAGACAATTGCAAAAATAGCATTTTTGGTGTGTTTACTTTCAAAAATATTACATGGTTTGTCCAATTTAAAAAATATCATTAGTTAAAGATTTTCTAAACCTTCAATTTTTTGAAACTACAATTAAAAGTTAAAACAATATGATCAGAACTGAATTTTGTGATAGTAAAAAAGATGAGTTTTTTTATAAAACACTAAAAATTAGAAAACGAAACCTCATTGTCAGTTCTCATACAAATATACCATTTTTTAATTCAAAATTTTGAACAAAATTCAGTTATAATCATATTGTTTTAAGTATAGTTTCGAAAAAATTAAGGTTAATTTTTAATTAGTGATATTTTGAAGGGACAATTACAAAAATGTCACTTTTTGTGTGCATATTTGCAAGAATGTCATTTAGGGGTGTCCATTTACAAAAATGCCACTAATTATAGATTTATAAACCCTATATCTTAAAATTCTAAACCCTAAAAAATATTTTGACACCTAAAACCCTCTAAACACTCAAAACTAAATCCTAATAGAACATAATTAACCCAAACATAAATAATATAAAGAAAAAATAATTTTGAAAAATGACATTTTTGTAAAGATTTCAAAAATGTGGCATTTTTGTAAAGTGACATTTGAAAAATGACATTTTTTGAAATTTATCTATTTTGAACTGAATTCACCAATTTCTATTGAATTTAAAAGCCAAATAACCAGATATTCACTAATTAATGTGTAATAGAATTGGTTTAATAGTTGGTAATGTTGGTGTATTTTTGTTGGTAAGAAGTTAAAACAATAATATCATTTTCATAAAGTTGGCTTAAGCTAGATGGATTTTGGGAATTTTTTTACTAGACAAACTTAATTCACTAATTATAAAAAGAAGAAAAAAAAAATAGAGAAAGCCTGTTTTTTTTTTTTACATTTAATAACAGAAAAAACCCCAAAATGAAAGTTGTCACTGTCAGCCGATTGC